CTCAACCCTAAAATAATCATTTCAACCTTGCACACTGTTTTCCCCCAGCCTAACCAACTAATAATAACTTACCATCATATATTTCTTCCCTTCCTCGCGGAATCAAAACACCTTAATTTTTTTTTTTTTTTCTTCCTCTTCTACCCAATAATAATACGCGGTGCCCTTTTCTACCGACTGTTCATTATCAAAAAAAAAAAAAAAAAGAAAAAGAAACGCACGACACCAAAAAAAAGAAGGACATATAGCAGGTAAGCGACCCCAAAGAAGCTTTACATAATTGGAGTTAACCACACACACACCCATAGTCGCAGGCTCAATCGCAGCAATAACGATCTTGCAGAGTCTTTTATAGCGTGCATCGCCAAAAAAAAAAGGACCCTTGGGACAGATTTTTTTATTTGAACAACCAGTCTACGACTTATCTCCGGGTTTGTTTGTTTGTCTTGCGACTTATTTATATCACCAGACACGTCTTCATCTCCACTCCTATTGCGACAACCACACGTCTTTCCTGCACAATCTGCACTACCACATCTCTTCTTCTTCTTCTTTTTTTTTTTTTGCTTTTTCGATATTGAAGCCAAACAAACAAGCCTCCGAAGCTGGTCTTCAACTGTACTATTAACTAGTGCCTACATTCTGACCTAATATAGATATCTATCTACCAATCCCTGTTTTTTTTCTTTCTTTCCCTGCTGTCTTCCCTGATCCCATCCTACCCCCCCGGTCCATCCCGAACACAGGACTCTCTACAACCACTACCATCCCCCTCCTCACTCAACGCAGTTCTCTGCTGCCGAGCCGCGCACATCCAGAAGCCTCAGTCTAACCAATTATCTGTGCCTTCCTCTGTCCCTCTTAACCAGCCGAAACAACACAGCAAAGATGCAATCCACTACCATCATGACGGCCCTACTGGCGGTGATATTGAGCATGGTATCCATGGCTGAAAGCTCGCCCGTGCTACCGCCGTTTGTGGCACATTCGTATGCGCGCTTGAATGGGCGGGACGAGCCGTCGTCGCGCAACGAGGGCAACCAGGTCAACTTTACGCTCTGCGAGGCCGACGACTACGAGATCCATGGGACCGTCAAGGCTATGTCTATTTCCCCCTGCCACCGGTCCGCCCCGAACGACGCGTGTACCTTCATCCGGGGCAGGTAAGTATTTCCCCTCCCTTTGCACTCTCATCCTTTTTTCAGCTTCTAATTTGCTCCTCCTTTCCTACAGAAACTACACCATCGAACTGGATTTCTTGTCATACTTGGACTCCCAGAACCCCAGGAGTTCCATCGTGGCCGGCGACCCCAAACAAGGGCCGTACGCGTACTCTGGCCAGAGCTTTGCGGCTTGCAAGGTAATGCTATAATCTCCTCGATCTCTCCCCAGCCCCCACCGAGGGATTCCCTCTTTTTCTCCGGCGCGCACTAAATTTCTTTTCCATGTGGCCATGAGCAGTACACCAATTGCCCTATCCAGGCCTATGTGGAGTCTACCTATGTGTACCACTTCCAGACCCTAGCCTCTGTACGTCTTCTCTTCTTTCCTCTGCCCCCGCTGTGCCCCATCTGGACAACTGAGATGGCTCTTCCTCACTGAACAGGACTTCAACTACCTCACGTTCAACGTCACGAGCGACTTCTCTGGGCCGAGTCTGTTTTGCGCGGGGACCAATATCAACTTCCACCAACGCGCTTAAAGAAGACACTTTTTTCCACCCCATTTTCCTTTCGTTTCCTTTATGCGTTTGCGTCGCGTGGCTCGTGGCGCTTACCGACTCATGAATGCCCCGTCGTCTTTTCCTCCTCGACCTCTTTGCTTCACCCCTTGAAGCTCTCCCCCAATGGACTTCACCGCTTGTATCTTCTTGCCCTTTGCTTGTCTGCCGTTGTTGAAGTGAAGTACTCCTTCCCATCCCCCCTGACCCCTATTCCTCCCTTACCCCACAATAATATCCCTTGATCGCCCTATCTAACGACTTCCACCATTGGTTATTCCCTTCTATTTACTTATTATGTCTTGATATTGCCGTACTCTCCAGATACTAAGAGTGAGAGAGAGAGGGAGATAGCGATCGACTAGCGATGTGTCTTCAAGGAGGCTATTCCCTTGTGATCCAAGTCGTTTATTTGTCCGCGCGAGGTTCTTGCTTGTCTCTCCTCTTCCCTCATGTTTTCCTTCCTACTTGGCAGATAATGAATACGCTTCTGTTGCTGATCGCTTTAATCATCCAAGGCGCTCGACGATGTCGATGTTGATATTAATGATGCGAGCGCCCACAAGACATTTACATGGAGACGGCTGGCTCAAGCTTGGATTGTGGGCAGAGGAGTCGTGCTAGGGAAGAGGGAGGGGTGGGCATATTCTTGGTCCTTCTTTCAAGATCGCTTTATCACGGCCTTCAACTGGGGATCTAAGGTCGAGGTTTGATGATGCCTTATCATCAACACATCGAGGGAACAGCTGCTGTGGTAAAGTTAATCATTCATAGGCTTGATGTTGTGTATGTTAACAAACTCGCTATCGGTAAACTACATGCTTTTGTTTTATCTTATATTTGGCACACTGCTGTCTGTTCACAATCAGAAGAAACATCTCGGGCGAGGAGGGAAAGTTATGTAAGCAGGGAACGGTTATATAGGAAGCGGGACGAAGGAGAGAGAGAGGGGGAGACGGTCGAGATGTGAGAGGGTCTCATAAATCTGAGATAAACGTTGCTTCCTGAAAAGATAGTCCAACAGAGGTTAGGCAAGACGAGTTACTCCCACACCAAGAAGTCTGACAAGATGCTCACATTGAAGAGATGTCCAACGATGGTAAACTTGCTCGTCTCGCCGTCGGCTGATTCCGGCTTAACCGTCATCCCCGCCGGCACGGCAGCGTTGGGTAAGCTGATGTTGGCGGTGACCGGATTCAACCACTTGTACATTGTTGTATTATCGACACAAATGTGTCGTCGGTTAGTGAGCGTTGCCAGTCAAAAAAAAAAAAAAAAAGAGGGCACTGACGGTGTAGATGTATGGCCTGGCTCCAGCGACGGCTGAGATGACTTTTTTAACAAGATAAGGGATTTGTGCCATCACGTCGACCTTCTCGATGAGGCCCTTCGAGACGTAACTCTCTCGTTCTGAGAGTTTTTTGGCCTCCAGATCTAATACCAGTTCGGCAGTCGCCAACTGGGTCGTCGGGTTCACGGAGGAGCCGTCGATGGACAGGATAGGGGCGAGCCATTCGAACTTGATCGACGAGGGGACTTGATAGCCCGTGTCGAGATCATGGAGGAGAGGGGCTTGGTGGATCGTTTTGGCATGTACTATGTCGCTAGGATTAGGACTGCACGAGATGCCAACCAGCTTGTCTCCGGCGACGATGCTACCGATGCTGACGGTTTGGGCAGGCCCATACGAGCCGGGGACGGTGGTAAACTCCATCAGGGTCAGACTGACCCCGGGATCTGTTTCGCCTGCGCCCTCAGCAGCGTCGGGATTATGGGGGGATCGGACGGACTGGAAGTTGCAAAAGTTCCAGCGGGAGGCAATCAGGTTAGGCCGCATGCCCTGGATGGCATGAACAAAGATGGCACGACTCCCGTCAAGCTCAACCGTCCGACCCTCCAAGACCAAACGACCAGAAACACTGCAACGAGGCCAAAATCTATGCACCAGGTATCCGTCCGATCCCGCGCCATAATCGGGGCCGCTCTTGCTGGGCTCTTTTGAAACCAATCGACCAAAATACGTCAGTCCGCCCCGGGCGTCCTGCCCGAGCTTCCAGCCGGGTACATTCGCCATGCGAGTCACACTGAATTCAATTTGCACCGAGTCTTCATGTTTCCCCGTCACTGTATATCGATCTGGTTGCGCAGGATCCAACAAGATCGAAAACTGATCGGCCTTGCATGACCTACGATCGTATTTGGTCGACGATGACCCAGAAGACGGGGGCGGAGTCTTGAAATTTGTCACGTTGGTGGACTTCCAGTGATGCACTCCAGCCTCTTGATCAACAAATCGGAATGTAAATTGGATTTGAGGGTACCAAAGCCTGAACCATTAATCAATTCACGGTCAGACGAGGACTGTACTGAGGGGGAAAGAACGGGATCACGAAAGGCATGAGACGGTGGGACAAACCCGATAGCTGAATGGATCACTTGACACATGGCAAGCTTACCGCCGGGCAAGGTAAGATAAAACGTTTGTGTTTCAGTAACAAAACCAGATGACTGGGCCAACCAGGAGGTATCCTATCAGGTAAAGAAAAAACAAGTCAGAAATTGTGCAAGAAAAAGGGCCATGGAATAAGTGTGTCTAAAAGATGACAGCAGAAATTGCCAAAAAGAAAAAAAATGAACATGGAGGGTGCGGACCTCATCTGTTAGTTGACCGAGTACGTTTCTAGGCTCATAGCGCGACGAGGCTGGATGGACGAGAACGGGGGGCTGTGCGTTAGTTTGAGATTGCGGTGGCTCGATCGAAAACCAGCTCATTATGAGTCACAGTAGCGAGGTGAGATGGAGTGTTGAAAAACGAGTTATCCAAGGGACGGTCAACAGGGAAGAAAGATGATGGTGAGATTACCTAAGCTGTGTTCTCCCAGCAATGTCGTCAATCATTCGGATCACACGGGGCTTGAGCACCGATCCTTATCTTCTCGACTTGCAGGATCTGACTCCATTCCAGGGGGATTAATCCTCTCTGTCCATATCATAAACAGGTGAATGGAACCGGCGATGAAGATCTCAAACTTGTACGGACGCGCTTTCCAAGAAAAAGTTGACTCCGGCTTCAGAAGCCTTTATATGATTCAAGAGCGCACCGGGGAGATATGCAGCCTCCTTGGACCCGGAACCCTTTCTATCGCATCTAAAGGATGAAAACTACGTTAAGCTTTTCTGCACTCCCCTTCAAGTATGCTTGTCGGACAATGATTATGTCCGAGTTTCGGAAGACTACCCCACTGCCGGCAAAAGAGTGTAATCACCCGAAGCTACAAGATGGTCAATATGGGGGTCGAACCCATGACATCCGCATAACAACCCCGAAGAGTATTAGTACGGCGCTCTAACCAACTGAGCTAATCGGCCGGAGATGAGAGACTTTCAACCTTTTTACCTATCTATAACATTTGCATAGCGCTTTCGTCTTTCGAGCTCACAGTTACCATTGTATTGTACCTGTTTAGGGAAAACCATGTTGTTCCTTCAGTATGTAGAATTGATTACTGGTTTGCACACATTTTTACATAAATCACAAATTGCCATACATAACAAGTCCATGCTATGAACTTATGATCCAGGTTCTCAACAAATTGTAATGTGCTTTAGCTGGAAATTTCCTGGATTTTTGTGTTTTGTTTTTGTTTGAACAATAGGGATTGTGATTTTGGATATCAACATTCTGGTACCATCAGACCTGTACTTCACATCAGGTCTATTCATGTAAATGTCAGAAAACTGAGGCTTTGCTTGGTTGAGTTCAATTATAAAAATTAGGGAGTTTCAAATTTGAGCCATAGCAACTTAGGGATGACATGACTGTACAGATTGTGGGAATACAAGAAGGATAGAGTCAAAAGATTCCTTAACTTCATGTTGATTTTTATGTTTATTCAATTATTCAAAAACCCTATTTCAGCAAAGAAATAAAAATATTTCTAAGGCATAAGTGAACAAGAAGCATTTTACTGCATGATCAGCATGGATCTTTGAAATTTTATTAATATTATTTGATGTGGGTTGCATGATATGAAATTTGATAAAAATAGGATGAGCTTTTTGAGGTTGGGGAAATCCAAGATGATAACAAGAAAGAGAATGATCTTTTGAGGGTGAGTGTCCAGGCTTGAGGTAAAAATAATAATTTGTGTTTTTGTTGAATCATAAACTGTTTATGGATTTCAACATTAGAATTTTGAAAATTATCAAAAGAAATCATTTTCCATTTCATACATAATAGGGGGTATCAAATATGACCAAATCTACCATTATGTAATTGACAGGTTTTCAAAAATCCACCCTTTTCAAAACATGTTTGTTCTTCACCAATAACCTCTTAGGACCCATTAATGAAGAAATTTATTTTTGAATGATTGACTGGTTTCTGATTGTGGATTTGTTATATTTGATACCCCCTAATCAATGTCTTGGAATGATGTCTTGGATTTGACAAATGGTAGGTTATTCTATGATTTGGGTGGAATTTTTGTTTTTTTCAACTTGGGTGGAATTTTTTTTTTTTTCAACATTTAATGTAAGTGGTGAA